AAGTACTAATCAATTATTATAAATCATACTTTAGTTAATGAGTTATTGATACTTCAAGTGCAAAATGATGATATAAAACCATGATAAAAATGCACTTTTAAGTACTAATCAATATTATGATCACATTTGCAAGGATGATGGAGTAAACAACAGCTCCAGCAGCTGAGAGGAAGAGAGAGCCAAACCCAATATGATCATGAAAAGGATTGAAAGCAATGGATAAGAGACAAAAGGCTGTTGCATTGGCCGAGAGGATCAATAATGAATTGCTTACATAGGTGAGGAGGAGAGGGTTGAAAATGGAGAAAATACAACAGAAAGAAGGTGGTTTGTGGCGATTGACGACTTGAATAACAGATGCTTTGGCGATGAGGAAGAGAGTAGAGTTCAGGGGAAGCGTGAGAATGAAAAAGGAGATTGTTTGAGAGAGCTTGAGATTGACAAGGTCGATCAACTCCCAGGAGTAAGGGAATCCTGCAGCATGGTCGATAAACTTATTATGAGATTGACAGACTGTTCAACCTGTTGTATATGATTGCAAGGAGAGACGACGAGGGGGAAACAAGAAGCAGCTGTGCGAAGAGAGATGAGGCCGAGAAAGGGAAGGCAAGGAGGGCTGATGTTAAGGTGTAGTAGTGATAGTTTTGAAGGTAAGTATAGATAGATTTTCGCATAATCTTGCTGCCTGTCCGAATACTATGTTGATCCATTGATGGGAGTGAAAAAGGCATGAACGAGTGTCTCGCCTATAGATTGTAATATTGATGTTTCCTCCTCTTTATTATTATTATTATTATTATTATTATTATTTTGTGATTTTTTTGGGGTTCTCTCTTTGTCATCTCCACAGTTCCCCAACAATATTAGCCGGCCACTAGGAGCAACTATGAATATTTATTTAACCCTACGTTTAAAAGTATTATTACTAGAATGATGGCTTGGCCTCTCATCTTTGGCTTTGCTAATTCAGGTGGGGCTTCTGATTGCTTGAAATACTAAACTATTACTTTTCTCATTTCTCTTGGTTGTGCATTATATTTATTAGTTCAATCATAGGACAAAAAAAACAATTGATCATTTCCCTTCAACAGGAAGGCTTAAAATTGAATTATCCATTCGAATTTTCTGTAATAATCCATTTTTCTCCCCTAAATTTTTTATATACTTTCAAAAATTATATTTCCAGGAAGTTTTCAACTTTACAACCACGAAGCTTTCAAAACTTTTCACCAGGAAGTTTCAAGCCCCACCACCATGAAGTTTTGAAGCTCCGCAGTCAAAATATTTTTAAGCCTTGCTATCAGGAAATTCAAGCCTTACCATCAAAAACTCTGAATCGATGTTCAAGCCAAGTCTCAATCAAGTCATCTGCAATTAAGGTAGCATTTGATTCGAGATTAGTTACTTTTCAATAAGAATATTTATTTAATTATGCAAGTAGTTATTTTTCTATGAGAATATTTATTTAATTATTTAATTTAAGGTTAGTTTTCTTTTAACAAGACTTATTTTGATTTTGAATTGTTTCGAGAATAGTTATCTTTTTAGGAGACTTGTGATGAAATTTTTAACTGATTTGATATAGTTGTCTCTTGATTATATTTATTTTGATTTTAAAATGATTTGTTTTCTAGATAGTTGTTGTCTTTTAATAAGATTTGTTTTGATTTTTAATTGTTTAAAGTTAGTCATTTCTTAATAAAACTTGTTTAGATTATTTTAAAAATAATTATATTTTGATAAGATTTGTTTTGAATTATTTAGCTATTTTGAGAATAGTTATCTCTCATGGGACCTGTTTTGATTTTAATTGTTTTGAGAATAGTCACATCTTAATAAGATTTATTTTAATTTTTTTAATTATTTTAAGGTTAGTTGCCTCTTAATAAGACTTTCTTAGTTTTTTAGGTTATTACTTTCCAATAAAACTTGTTTTTCTTTTTAATATTTAAAGATATTCATCTCTCGATAAGACTTGTTTTAATTATTTGATTATAAAGGTATTTTTCTTTTGATAAGACTTGTTTTGAAGATAGTTAGTTATATCTTGATAAAATTATTCTTATTTTATTTGTTTTAAAGTTAGTCATATTTTAATAAGACTTGTTTTGCTTTTTAATTGTTTTAAAGCTAGGAGATTATGTCATTCTAAAAAAAAATCTTTTCTGCTATTTTTTTATAAACTTATTATATAAAGATAAAAAAAATAAATTTTCCAATAACTTTAGATTGTAAATATTTTAAAGAGATAATTGTTATAACTCACTTTTTACCCCTAATTTTTCTATGCATTTTTAAAAATTATATTTTCAATCTATTTTAACTTTTAATTTTTAATTTAATTATGATAATAATAAAAAAAAAAGAGAAAAGAAAAGGAGTTTAAAAAAATAAAATAAGAAAAAGAGAAAACAAAAGGACTGATTTGATTAGGAATTAGAAATAATAGGAGAATAGTATGTAAAAGAGAAAGGACTGATGTGATTAGGGATTAGAAATAATAGGAGAATAGTATGTAAAAGAGAAAGGATTGATGTGATTAGGGATTAGAAATTTAACAATTAAGTAAAATTAAAAAAAAATATATTGAAAAAAATCATACACATTAATTTTTTTTTTAATTAATTACTAGAAATTCATGATAAAAAAAGAAAGCATTATAATTGCCTAATATTATTTTTTATTTTTTATTTATTTTGAGTGAGATCCCACACAGTATAAACATGAGACATTCCAATAAAGGTAGGACACATACATGGATTAAAAAATAAAAACTCTCGTAAAAAATCTAGAAAAAAGAAGACCTCGTAAAAGAAGATACGAAGATAAAAAAAAAAAAAAAAAACTAGCATAAGGAAAAATAAAAATAAAAACAGTAACAGTTCAGAAAAATCCAATAGTAGCCATGATACGAAGACCTCGTAAAAGAAGATACGAAGATCAAAAAAAAAAAAAAAAAAAACTAGCATAAGGAAAAATAAAAATAAAAACAGTAACAGTTCAGAAAAATCCAATAGTAGCTACCATGTTCTCAGCCTCTGATCTCTCAACGCCGGTGGAGGTAGCCTACCTCACTATCATCAAAAGGAAAAGGAACGATATGCCAACACCACGAACACATCCACACGCCTCCCTGACCTTGCAGCACGGGGAACAAAGCCTTGAAGGAAAACCTGCTAGTCTATACGTCAAACAACATACGCCGAGGGTTTTTTTTTTTTTTTTTCCTAGCAATTTTCTTTGTATTCCAGCCGACTTTCATAGCTCATAAAGATAAATTTTAATACCATAGATGATCTATATGTTCTTTGAACAATTTTTTAATTTGTTTTGTTAATTCTGGAATCGCAAATACATGTTGATGTTGATATTATTTTAAATAAATTGATGAGATATTCATGATTTTCTATTGCATTTGAATATGATTATGTTTGTTTATATTAATTGAGTTGGTTAAAATATTTATGATTATTTATAGTGGTCATGCTTGGTGAAATATCTAATTTATAATTGGATAATATAATTTATGTAATGAAAAGAAATAAATTGAAATACCTAATTTGTAATTGGATAATATAAATGGTGTAATGAAAAGAAATAAATTAAAACTCGAGTCTTTGTTTATTATTATTTTAAATCTCATCTTATAATAAAAATAAAGTGAGGATTTAGCTTCGTCCGCATTCCGAATCACTATTATAGAAATTTTTACCACTAATAAATACAATATTTAGTTTAGGCAAAATAAAATAATAGCATGAATGCTTGAAATTAAATAATCAGTCCCTTTCCTTTTATATTATCAGCTCGCCGTGATACCCCGCAGCACTGTCTCCTTGCAGCTGATTAATATCAAGTGCGATGAATTTGGCTACGAATGGTCAAGTGCGGTGCTAGAGTTTGTTGGGTACGTGACTGAATTCTTAGCTTTAATGATAACTAGCTAGCACAAAGGTTGTTCAAATCGGACGAACACTTGTTTGAATAAAAAATGAAGCATGCATTTGTTCTAACTTGCCTGAATTCTTAGCTAATGATAACTAATTAGCTGAACATCCACTATATAGTTAGCCCTTTCTTTTTCTCTCTTTCAACTCATTTCATGAGTAATAGTTTGGTATTTTGCATATCCTATGACTTTAAATTACGTCTTAATTAAGAACCAATTAGCGTGCAAAGAGGATAGTTGGCGTGTGGTTCACAATTTGTGATTAAAATGCTAATTCACCCAACAAATTAAGACCTCAAAGAAGATGTAGCCGCAAAATGCTAGTTCATTTTAGCCTGAAAAAGGTCTATGATTCTAGCCTAATCTCTTTTATTCATTTTTTGCATGCAAATCCCTCGTGTTAAGCCTTTTTGGATTTCTAAAAAATCCATCCAATTAAAAGCTAATATTTCTCCATGTTGAGCGTGTGGAAATGTAGCATCAATAAAATATTATATTATATAGTTATAAAAATTTTAAGAACCTGAAAATTAATCCTTGAGGTTCCAAATTAATATATATATATATATAGCAATTAAAGCCATATTAGTGATGTTTAAAAAATGTTAAAGAACATACATACATTATACATGCTAAAAGTTCCGAGTCCTCAAGACCTCGCTTGCACACAAAAACAAACCAAAAGTATTAGAATATAATAAAGATTAATATAATTGACTTGGGTGAAATAGAGATATTGCCTTGGAGGGTAGAATAGAGTGAATGAAATCTCTGTCATTGGATCTTGAGGACTCTTCTAGTTTCTAATTAAAAACAAACAAAAATACCAATCAAAATAACAAAATAAGTTTTTAAAAAAATGATAATAGTAATATACAAACAACAAATAATCACACAATAACTTTAATTATCAAAATGTAATCTACAAGCTTTATTGTGAAAGACCAACCAGACTTATGCATATTTGTGCAGTTTGAACCTTATATAGCTTACTCGAGTATCACAAATATAAAATGAGTACATGATATTTATAATTATCAAGGACCATGTAATCCCTAAATACTTTTTTTAAAAAAAAAACTTAGGATAAATATTTCTACTTATATATAAAAGCAAAGAAAAACATATAGTAGAGAAAAGGATGTGATTTTAAGCAAACAAGATTTTAGCATGGAGTCGAGAAACTGACACAAAGAATTAGGGTTATACCTATATGTGTATACCTAAAATAAATATTTATATGTCAATCATAAAAAACAATTATTTTACATCATAAAACAGAAAATATTTGAAATTTATCATATATATAAAAAAATTGAGGTAGGAGAGTCCTTGATTGACTAGGAGAGTTCAAGGAGCAATCGACTAATCTACCAAGCAACTAGAAGCCATAATTAACTGAAAAAATGATCCACCAATGAAGTTTGAACGCATGTAAATAACCGGAAGATATAATTTCAATCAAAGTAAGAGTACTCAATGAAACAACTAATTAGAAGTTAGAAATTTGTATTTCTATGAAGAACAAATATTATCTTTAAATTTTTAGTAAGTAATTGTTGATGCACATATATATATATATATATATATATATATATATATGAATTATTTATATTAGAGGACCATATACAAAGTATTTTACCAAAATGTAAACTTAGCTATTTATTTATGTAAGAGAATAACACAAAAAAAAATACATGTGGTAATAAAATAAAAACCTCACGCTAAAAGATTGCATGCATTATGTGATGTTAATATTAA